TCCCTGCTGCGGAGGAGCGAGGACCCCTTGTTCCTGAACGACTCCAGTGCCTTTGACTTCTCGGACGAGGTGGGGGACGAGGACTTCCCCCGGTTTAACAAGCTGCGAGTGGTGGTGTCGGACGAGGCCTCGGAGACGGCCCCGGAGGCGCCGGTGAACGGGGCGCCCCTGGGCCTGCCCTCCGACGACGACTCCCTGCTGGACCGGGACATCGCCCTGCGCAGCGCCCGGGCCGGCCGGCCGGACCTCTGCAGCAGCTGCAGCAGCCGGCGGGAGCGCTCCAAGCAGAGGAAGGTGAAGAAGCGGCTGACGCTGGCTGCCCTCCTCTACCTCCTCTTCATGACGGGGGAGCTCATAGGTGAGTCGGGGGCTTGCTTTGCCGTCTCGCCGGCCCGGGTGCCTCACAGCCCGTTAGCTGCTCCGGCCTCGTTTTTAAGTATTTACTAGGAGAAACCGTCTGTCATTTAGAGAGATCAGCTGCAAGTTCAGAGAGTGAGAAGGAGCAAAGTCCACCTGTGTTTTCCATGCAAGAAAAGAAAGAGGAATTTGCAGCTTCCCTTACCTGAATCTCATCAGTCCCCCCCAGTGGCATAAAATACACATTTTTTTGTATGTCTGATGGCTTTTTATTTCTCCTGGTTTGTAAGTTTGTAAGGTGTTTTTAGCAAGGGAGAAATTGCATTTTATTGCAGTCATAAACATAATAGGATGAATAATTCCATCCTCGGTATTTTTTAATTACTGCCATAAAAACTTGCTGTGTTTGCAACAAGAGAAGAGGGAAATACAGTTTCTAAGCACGATACACTCTGTTGCTTACAACTGAAAAGACAAATCCTGAGCCATCAATAACAAACCAGCGAAGAAGCCACTCTCTTGACAGCTTCCTGATGTCCGACTGTGCTCTGGACTAGCATACGCTCCATCCAGACGTAAATCTTACGAGCAAAGTCAATTAAAATAATAGGTATTTTAACACTTCCCATTACAACACATGAGAATACCAAGTAGTTTGATTAAACTCGTTGCGTTTTTTGTTTGTTAGTACTTGGCAGAAGTATGGTGGGTTTTTACCTGGAAATTTGTTCCTATAAAAGCATCCGATTGTTGTTGGTCAGAAGAATGAATCTGGTGCTCAAGTTCAGCTTTTATTGCTCCCTCATAAAGGCATGCTATCGTTTGCTGTTCAGCTTGAAGAGAACCTGTGCATTACACAGCTGTCTCTGCGGAATGACAACGCTTTATTTAATAGGCTACAGTGGCATAGGCTTGAAATAAAATTAAATTTGAAAGTCCCTTGGATGCATAGGTGAGCTGTTAAATGGCCGTCGCCATTATCTAATCAATTTTGCAAAGCAGAGTACTTATCTTTTAATCTCTGTTCAGTTACCAATTTAATATCGGCGTCCTGTTGCCATCTGTCTTTGGGATACGTCCACGCCATTCAGGGCAAGTGTCTGCTTGGTGCTAGTCAGCCTCCTGAAGAATGCTTAAACCCTCTCATCCACTTTCCCCTGATTCGAAGTGGTGGGGAGCGTTACACAGTGCCAGTCCATCGATGCGTATGTTGAGCCAGGTCTCTCCGGCAACTCCAACAATTAATTGCTTTTAAATTGCTTTCATTTTAACATACAAGTCTAAATCAGAGCTAATCAGATGAATTATTGGCCATAATTCACCAGGGGAAAAAAAAATCAAGTTACAAAAACTTTCTGGAAGTAAAGAACAGAGATGCCTCAGGTATAGTAACACGGGACCTACATCCTCCTCCTCACCTACGCAAATTTGGTCAGTAATGACTGAAGATGTGATGTTTGCTTGCGTGAAGTGAGCTCGCGCTCTTGGATCGCTCGTCCTAGGACAGTTGTGAATTGTATCTTTAAGACAGAAACTCCTACAAGACGGACAGGGAGCAAAATAATTGCTGAGTATAAATAATACAGTTTGTCCCACATACGTAGAAAAAAATCCCTAGGAGAAATGGTCCGTTTTTCAGAGAGAGCCCAGAATACTGACTATATCTGCACCAGTTTTATTTGGGGCCTTATTTCAGGAACGTGGGTTAGTGGAAAAAAGTGGGTTTGTCCTTCAACACCTCTCAGTGTGTGGTTAGTCATTAACAGCACTGCCACAATACATCAGCTCATCACGGATAAGGCACTGCGCATCAAACCTGTTGCAGGGATCTGGCTGAATGCCTCCATTTGTCCCCTGGCTCCGTTTTTTTCTCTGGCTGAGGTTTTGGTTCAGCAGGAACTCAGGTAAATTTGATAAGCAACATAGTGTTATATCTCAGACGTAGACATCCTTTAACATGAGAGTGATTTTATTTGATTGTATTCATATCAGAGTTCCGATACATGCTGAATTTAGTTGATCTGAAGGGCCCCTTACTGAATAATATGTCTGAACTGTTGGCAGCTTGGTGCTGAAGTCACTAAGAGTGTATCTGTTGGGGGCTTCGGATCCGATTCACGCTATTGTAGACCTCTCCATAGCTACTGCAGGGAGAGCTCTAGAAATAATAGGTGTTGAGTAAAAATACTCTCTCATCACTGTCACATCATCTGTTGCTTCTCCCTCATAGCCAGGACTTCTGCAAGCCGAGCTCAGGGTGGCTGATTTGTCTGTACAAAGTGTTGGTACTGTAGTGCGGACTCATCTTCCTCAGGTCTATGTATGCTATTACCAGCCCCATTTCGTTATTTGGGCACCGAGGCAGACAGCACTGAGGGCCAGACCCACCCATAAAATATTCAGGCATCCAACTTCCACAGAGAGTAAATAGAGGACTTGGGTATCTCTGTACTTTTGTGGATCTTGACCTGAATGACTTGTCATAGGGCAAGTAATCAGCGGCAGAACGAGTAATTAAAGGTGGAGCCCTCAAGTCCTGGGTCAGTGCCCTACCTGTTTAAGTTATTTCACTCCAGCCCTGTATTGTGTTCTGTCTGGTTGGTTTCAAATTTTGGAACTTTTTGAATTGATCTGTAGCTCAGGTATTTGGGAAACTTTGATCATATAGGACATTTAACTGACTTCTTTCTAAGATCTTTGACAGATTTGAGTTTCTGAGGAAAAGGCAGAACACCCTATCAGACAATTAATTTGTTCAGTAAATTTCAGTAAAAATCTTTCTGCTGTCTTTTACCGATGTCAAGATGAAGGAAACCCTGTTTCAGTAGCTTTTTTGGGAAATCTTAATTGGCATATTTTTTCCAAAGTATAGCCAAGCTCATTACCCCAGCCCAGCTCAGTGTTTGTTGTTTAATTTGATGAACAGTCATTGTAAAAGTCGGATAACAACTTAGACTTTGTGGGAACCATTTTGCATCAAGAAATGAAAAACATACTGCAAGTCCTCATTAGCTTTTCTGACAGGGCTTTGATGTTTTCAGCTATGTTTAGAGATTTCTAATTGATCGTCCACGAGGAGGACTGCTGTCCTTCGCGGGTCACTGAAAACTGGTGAGCCATCAAGCTGTCTATCTGTAAAGGTTATAGAGGTCTTTTTTTTTTTTTCTCCAAGTTGCCAATCGTGTTTAAACAGCCCTTAGGCAGTACCTTTAACCAAGCAATGAACCGATATATTTGGAAACAAAAGAACCTTTGATTTCAGAATTTCATAAGTCTCAATTATGTTTTCTTAATCCACATGCTGCATTATGATTAGCTTCAACACCGGAATTCCTTCTTTATAATTTTATTTTTAAAACCTTTAAAAGTGAGAGACTAGCTGAAATAGAATTGACTCATCTTGGACTGAAGTGATTCTCAAAATTAATACATGTGAATTAACATACATACTTCAAATGATCACACGTGTGAACTACTGAATTGAATGTCCTTAGATATAAATTATTGTTTCTTCTGTGTTGACTATAAAAGAGGCTGAGTTGCACATTTCTAAGTCATATTCTTTTAAATTATGTGAGAACACAATTCCGAAAGGAAAGGCATAACTCATTTTACTCAAAAAGCTGCTGAATTGCTAAATCTTAAAAACTCATTATTTTTGAGCGGTGATGACCTTCGGAAAATTTCAGCCTCAGAAGAATTTGACTTAGAAACTTAGGAACAACTGAAGAAGGGGGGATGGAGGAAAGGAACTGGTTGAAACGTGGTGTATTTGGTAGTTACCCACAGTACAAGCAATGCTGCAGTATCAGCCATGCTGCTTGTGTTTGGCTGGGGAGGAGAGCGTAGCTCTGTCTGCAGGTGTGTACATGCAAACACCCACAGCCACCCACCCCCCCATTTTATGACTAGTCTTGAAAGCAATCAGCCAGTTGTGAATTGCCCTTTGCTATTTCCTCATGGTCAGCCTCTTCTCTAAGACAGTTTTAATTGTATACGAAGATATACAATTATGTACACGAAGATACCTTTAACTCGAAATGTTAGTTGGAGCCTCAAGCCTGCCAAATGGCATACCAGCTGCATGCTTTGCTCAGTAGAATTTACAGGCTGAATGACAGTCTCAAGGTAAGAAGAGAAACTAAATTATAGCTGAGCTGACATGAAAGATGTGATCTTTTCTGAGAAAATGGGCTTACCTTCGTGCATATGGAAGACACAACGCAGCCTGTCCTTGATTCCCCTTTGGATAAGGGATGCTTAAGAGAGAGGTGCATTGTTTAAATCTCTCACCTATCCAATAGTAGCATTAGCAATTGAGTTGGAACAAAGATATTAACCTTTGATCTGAGGTTATTTGTCTCAATGCAGCTCATAATTACGAGAAAAAATTATGGTAATAAATAACAAAGAAAAATGCTGTGCAAGTGAAAGTCATTGTCTGCAATATATATTGGCAGAACTTATACACCCCTGCCAGGACAGGGAATAATGAAGGTTAAAAGATAATGTAATAAAAATAAAAAGGGGGCAGGGTAAATTTCTTTGCCATTGAGTCACTGGATTTCTGTCCCTGTTCTGTAATGTCAAAATATTTAACAGATGTAGTTTAATGAAAGGATCAGCTGATTAAACACATCTGCAATAATACATAGAGAAAAGAGACAAAACTGTTTTGGGCCTGATCTTGCAAACGTTATGATGCAAGTAGTCTCTGTGAGAATAACAGGAGTGAATCCTTTCTATGTTACTTTTAATGGAAAGCACACTTCACTGCACTTTTAACTGTGGTAGCTTTAAATTATAGCATGACGTTTTGACTGTAATGGCAAAACCCCCCTGTTTAGTGAGTATAAGAAGGGTTCTCATGCACTTAATGCACTGTTCTGAAAATAAGTAACTGTAAGCTGTGCCAAGAGGATATTATCTAGAATCATTAATGTCATATGTCCTGACTTTTCCAACTTTGTTTTCAGGTGGATATGTTGCTAACAGTCTAGCAATTATGACAGATGCACTTCATATGTTAACTGACCTTAGTGGTATTATTTTGACCCTGCTTGCTCTCTGGCTGTCTGCAAAATCTCCCACAAAGAGGTTCACTTTTGGATTTCATCGCTTAGGTATGTAGATAATCAGCTTTTGCTATTAACAGAGTATTTTAAGCAACAACTGTAAAGATCACCTAATTCTAGAAGAATAGGTAACTAGAAAGAAAGTAGCAACAAACCTGAAAGTTGCTTTATGTTTAACACCCTGACTCTAATGTCCTTTCATTGGCCATTGTGGATCCACTACGTAGGTTGTATTGCCACAAGGGAATAGATAATAAAATTTTAAATTTTAAACCTCAGCCAAAAGTGACGTTTGATGGCAGAGTTTCACTCACTGGGAGCAGGATGAGTCTCTCCATCTCTGTGGAACTAGGACTTAGCAGATTCAGAGTTGAATTCTGAATGCTTGATTCATCTTCCATCTTAAAGGGGAAGGTTGGGGAATTGGATACATGATGACATTGTAAATATGACTTCCTACAAATGAACCATGGCCTAAGAAGTTTAAAAAGGGTTCAGAGGAGAGAAGCTGTCCCCAGCAAGAACAAGGGTGGATATGCAGCTGTGTTTCACAGCCCATCCATAGTTACTGGGCTGTTGCATTAGGTGAGGCCCCTGTGCACCTTTGTGCTTTGGAACGGAGGCTGTTGAGCAAGGGAGGGACACATTCTTTGGTCACTCGCTGCTGTACCACTGTTAGTGCTTGTGTGACACTCTGAGGAGCTTGTTGGTGCAGGAGCTGTACATGTCAGTCTTGTTCACAACAGATTATTGCCAGTGCCCAGGATTTACAAAGTCCCATTGACTTCAGTAGAATTATGATACGAGAAAAAAGTCCTATTCAATGTGAAAAATGACATCTTAATGCAGAACTAAAAAGTTCTGTAGAGCGTATTATCAGAGAGCTCTGCCCTGCCAGAAGCCACATAAATCAGTAGTATTCTTGCGCTCCCCAAACCACACAAAGCAGAGGTCAAAATGTCCCGTGGTTTGCAATTCAGTAAATTACTTAACCTCTGCCCATTTTAGGTGTCTGTAAAAAGAAGTATAAACAGAATGTTGTACTAAACCTTGGAAGGGTATTTTCAGGATTCATTACTTCATGTTTGGAAATGTAATGATGATAAAGGGTGTTTTCATGTGGTTGCTAACTGGATATAATAATTCATCATGTACAGCTGCAGGTCTTGTAGACATTTTACCAAAAGCTTCAACCTTTATTTTTCATGGAATAGATCATTTCTAGTGTCACAGTTTGCTGCCCCTGCTCTATACATTCTATAGCCTATATTTTTCAAGGAATTTCAAAGTCTTGTGTAGTCATCATTTGCAATTCTTACTTTGGCTGCTAGAACAGCAGTAGAATTCAACAACTCCATCACTCCTAGTCATTTGTCATCAGTCACTAATGCATGAATGCATAACTCTGTACACCAGCAAAGATCTTTGGGGCTTTAGCAAGAAAGCATTAACAATGCCAGCATTTCCCATTACAAACTTTTCTTTCAAGAAGTTTTCATTTTGCGATAGGAGCTCCCCTAATACTGAAACCTGACCTTGCAGGTATGCCCCTGGCATTTGCTCATACTCTCCAGAAGGATGTTTGCTAGCATTTATACATACTTTAACCCTATTTAAAAATAACTTGAGTAATTTATGTGTCTTTGTAACTTTTCTAAAACCAAATAGTACATACATTGAACTTGCCATGGCCTAGCTTAAAATAGGAGTTAATCTTAAGAAAAATAAAAGAAACTTATTTAACCATTAAAATCTTAGTTCTGTAAATTTTCACTGACTTTTCAATTAATTAATCTGAGGGCTCCACAGCACTTTGCAAACACAAATCCCTGAGGATTCCTGCCACCACGCTTTCTGTACCTTTTTTTTCTCCCCGTTTTACTGCCAAGAAAAACACTGGCCAGCCTGATCCAATGGTGGCCCACGGGCCAGATCTGCCCCATAGAGTTAGACCGTATCGCCCACCATCTTCTCCCTGGGCACCATCTTCCTGCTACAGGGAACAGCTTCTCAGTTCTGCAACAATTACTCCTCCTTTTCTGCTGCCCCGTGCCAGTAGGTGGTCAAACACTAGAACAGGTAGTGGAGTCTCCACAGTTGGAAATACTCAAAACCCAACTGGACACAGCCCTGAGCAACCTGCTGTAGCTGACCTTACTTTGGGCAGGGCTACACAGTTTCCAGGGGTTCCTTTCTACCTCAGCCATTCTGTCTGAGTAGCAGCAGTGCAGCTCTCTCTGTAGGAGGAGGACGACTAGAGCCTGGGGGTCGGGGGGGAGAGCTTCTGTGGCTGCAATGAGGAAGGGGAAGTGGGTAAAGGCCCTGCAAGAGACCTCCAAACCTTGATCTAGGCTGTGCAAGTACAGGAGGTGGGATGGTTCAAAATTACTATACACAGTTTTTTAAAGTCACATTTGTGAAATTTATTTGCCTGATTTTAGGGACCCAATCTGAACGCCGTGGCCAGAGGACCCAGTTTCACACATCAGTGAATGCTGGCAATGGAACAAAGCTGCTTCCAGGGCATATCCTCACTGTAACACATTTTTCCAAATAACCTGTATGTAAGAAGCTTGTCAGCAAATAGTATGAGCTCAACAATAGCTTGAATTTCATGAGAGATGTTAAAACATGACAGAATGTTAAAAATAGGGTACAGACTGAGCATCTGTCACAGAAAAAATGTGGAGCATTTGTTTAAAGCTGGGAATATGTGCAAGCACTATCTCATCACTGACCTGCTTTGCATTAAGTTTTAAGATAATCTGTACATACAGTAAGCATGAAAACATTCTAACGAACAATGTTTCTAGTACTCGTTATCACTTTTGTTTGCAGAACGATGAATTTTCAATCTCGTTCCCATAAACATTGCATTGTAAAGACAACAGACCTATTAGTTGTCTAGTCAAATTCCAGAAGGAAATTAGCACTAGTTTTCATTTATCTGAGTTCTCTTTGAATACATAATATGTATGCTCCATCTTCAGTTTTATTCCATTTTCAGTGGTGAAAAGGAAGCTGACAGGTTCAGGAATGGGTTAGAAAAGTGAAGACAAAATAATGGAAATTGCAGACATGTCTAAAAAGGATTATATTCTTGAAGCCAAAAATAGTTCTGTTTCACCACCAAGTGGAGATACCTCCTTCTCAGCAAGGCACTGAGCAGATTTAGGCATAGATATGAAACCTGGGATTTTTCCATTGCTGCAGAGACAATGTTAGTAATGACAGAATCAGTCAGTCCACTGAGACAGTGTATAGTTCATTTCACAAGAAGTGAAAGATCTCAGCACAATTCTACAGTGCTGACATGATGATGACTGTGAAAGAAACTGCAAGGAAAACACTGGTTTCCGTTGCAGAAAACATAGTTTTAGATTGTAAAACCACAATATGTTACTTCTCTGGTAAATGCTAATGTGCTATGGCTTCACAAATTTTTTAAAAAGCATTCTGGAAAACCTTCTAAGCAATGTATTATTTTTTTTTAAGGCTGTTGGCCTGAATAATCTGCCTGCTTTTTGAAGAACACTACCACTTGCATGGATATTTCCAGGATTTTCATGTTGCTCTGAAATCATCTGAGATTGTGACAGTTGCCTTTCAGAGCCTTGTTACTGCCTGGTAATGCTGGTAGTCGTCCAGGCATTGACACACTACCGAACAGCTGAATGCGTTGGTGTGAGTTTCTTCTCCCATAATGATGTTAAAAATTCGGTGTATGGATCAAGTGATTTTGGTGATATTAAAATGCTTATATAGCTGCATGTTTTTTACTGTAATATTGAATAAATAAAATTAAGGCAGTACTGTGTTAGAAATGACACCTTCTGCAGTAACCAAAGTTGTACTACACACTGACAGATTCAAAGCAAGAGGGAGAAGTGAGGTGAATCAATATTCTTAGAGCTATGGTACAGCCAAGAGCGGAATTTTGCCTTTACTGGGGAATAAATCAGGGCAACGTGTGGAACAAGGGGGAAGAACAACCATTGCAGTTCCAAGTAAATTAATTCCAGCTCTGATCTTTGAATTCACACAGGAAGGCTAAGATCCCAGTGATCCATCTGGCAAGTGACAGTAATGAGCATTATGCATAATGATTACAGATTACTCAGGCATGGCTGCGGATTTACATGCAATACAATGGAGCTAGCATTAAGGTTTTCCCAGTGCTTTTTGTAAAGCCCTGTATTAACTTGCTTGTAACTAAGACTGTCTTAACTGGGCCAGTGTTTTCTCTGTCAGGTATCTTGCTGCCGCCTTTTCTTTTTTCTTTTTTTTTTTTTAAAGTTTCAGCTGCAACAGGGCAATCATTTTCAGAATATGAAGCTAGAGGGTAAAAGTATGTTTATGTTAAAAATAATCTAGTGACCCATTTGGAAATACCTATATTCCTTATAGTAGGACCTTAAAACTGTAGTGTGGACTCATTCTTCTCAGGTTTATGTACGCTCTTATCAGCCCAATTTAATGACTTGGGTACCGAGGCAGGCAGCACTAAGGTCCAGATCCATAAAATATTCAGGCCTGTTTACCTCACATCAGAACAGCAGGAACCTTGCAGAGAGCTGTAACCACTTTCCACAGATTTAAATGGCAGTGGAAGGTGCAGGACAATGAAATATTAGGAGTTTTTATTAACTTTCTAATTTTCTCTTTATTTAGATGTATGTGCCCTTTTGAAAGTCCCTACTGATCAGATAAAATTCCTACACCAAAGTGTTGGTCATAACACTCTTGTGAAATATGAGTATTTGGTAAACATTAGATAATGTTAAAACAGCGTATTACAGCAATACAGAAACTTACATTAAGCAATCCTTCATAGCTGAAATCTGCAATAAATAACGTGTATGTACACATATGTCAAGCAGCTTAGGAGTAATACATCTGACAAGTTTGTACCGTTCAGTTTCTTAATCTTTTTATAATTTTTTCTTCATCCTAAATACAAAAGGATATATAAAAGTCATTTCTAAACCCAGCTTAATACTGTGGACACTTGAAATCAAGCTCTCTCTTATTTGTAGGTGGGCTGGTGATGTTTGAGATCACCTATCTTCCCCTCCTCTGGACAGGGCCTTTGCCTGCGGCTTCTTGGGCAAAAGTTCTGGGTTGTCTGAAGAAGTCACAGTCATCGCCCATGCAGAAATTTTCAGAGAAAACATAATTTGAGGGATATACTGACAAGGAAGCGTGAAGGAGTTGACTAGAACAAACTCCATTTGTTAATCTTATTTTACGAGTTTTATTTACTACACAACTTGTTAGTTGTGCATTAGGGTTATAATATGCATAAAATAGTTAAAATAATTAAAGCTCTGTCCACGTTCTAATTTGGAAATAGAAACAGATCTGAGACTGACTTTTGTAATGTTGTTTCCTTTCTGTTTGCAGAAGTATTGTCAGCCATCATTAGTGTATTGCTGGTCTATATCCTTATGGCATTCCTCTTGTATGAAGCTGTTCAAAGAACTATCCATATGGACTATGAAATAAATGGCGATATCATGCTGATTACAGCAGCCGTTGGTGTTGCAGTTAACTTAATGTAAGATCTCCCTTTCTCTCCGTTAACACTCATAAATGTATTTCTGAATAAGCTGCTAGTTCATTCATGGCCTGTAACTTTCTCATGGGATGTAATCTTGGTGGACCTCTTCATTTTCATAAATAAGACAAGAAATGATACTGAGTATTACTTTTTCAATTCTTTGGTTTAAAAGGAAGAAAAAGAAAAAAAAGCAACAAAAAAACCCCACCCACCAAACCCTAAAGCCTGTTTCTTGGAGTGTTTTTCTTCTTTCACTTTCAGAATGGGTTTTTTGCTGAATCAATCTGGCCACCTTCACTCCCACTCCCATTCCCACCCTCACTCTCACGTACCTCAGTCGAACTCTCCTAACACAGCCCACAGCAGTAGCCACGGGCACAGCAGCCTTGCCGTGAGAGCAGCGTTTGTACATGCCCTTGGGGACCTGGTACAAAGTATTGGCGTGCTCGTAGCTGCATACATCATACGCTTTAAGGTAAGGAATGGCTAGTCTTTGAGGCAGGGTGGAGTTTTTTTAATTTCAACTCCGGTGATTAAATTAAAAAGGGATTTGTTTTTGTAAGTTATTAAAAAAATACTTTGTGATATTCTATTATAAGCTTCATACATTCATGCAAAATAAGCAAAGACTATCTCTAGTGTGTATTTTGTAACTATTCAAACAAAAAGAAATATTCATGAAAGTTGAAGCTACAAGCAACTGCATTTTCTGAGTCACATTTTTATAAGTGAGCTTATTTTCATACATCCTTTAACACTTTGGAACTTCCCTTGCAGCCAGAATACAAGATTGCTGATCCTATATGTACATATGTATTCTCCATACTGGTGGTTTTGACAACAGTTCGAATTCTGTGTGACACAGGAGTTATTATTCTGGAAGGTAAGATCTGTGCACAGTCTGCAGTACTTTACATGTCAAATACCAGTGAGCATTGGCACTTTCTTCACATCACGATCACATTCGATCTAACGAAGTGGACCGTGACTGGAGACCTGTTTATGCTGCTGCTGCTTTAGTCTGTTGGTTCTTGATGGCTCATCTAAGTTGCAGCAGTCTTCAGGTGTCTTTGACCTCTGCCGTGACATGTACGGAACTTTCTTGTGTGTCTGCAGTGGCTATCAGCTTAACTAAGTGTACATTTGCCCAGGCTCAGTTCTACACTTTCACTTTAATTATTGTAAAGTTAAAGTGAATGTGAGTGCATTTAAAAGGAGGAAGCAAGCTTAGGCCAAATGCCTGGACAGGTGGTTCACGCCTGTCCTGTCTTCCCCTTTTCCACGCGTGCTGTGGTATTGCTTGTGTGCTTCTACTGTTACCATAGGGGAAGCTACAAGTAAAGAGTGGTGTAAAAAGGAAGAAGAAAAAAACTGGAAAGAAAAAGCTGAAGAATCTTATCTCATGTGGTGACTTAGAGGGAAAGGTGCCAGCAACATTCTTTGCATTATTATAACTAACATGCCAACTATTGCTGCTTGATCTAGTACTTTTACCATATGAAAGTGAATATATTAGGGATGGGAGAAAAATCCTAGGTTTTAGCTGCACCTTCCTAGCTGTCTCATGTGAGCTATTATTGACTTCACTTTTACTATGTTACGAGGTTAAATCAAAGACCTCAAAATCTTCAATGTCAAGTGATTTTGTTGTCATTTAGGAGGGGAAAAAAAAAATGCAACAAAATGGAAGTTCACCGAGAAGGCAAAAATGGTAAAATTTGCTTAAGAAACCTCAGTTAGCTCCAGGGCAATAGCTAAGATTTAGCTGAAGAAAACAGATAAGACAAACTAATGGTGTATTAGATTCCAGATGTTTGAGCTGTAGCTGTTTGCATAGGTATCTCAGTTGTCATAAAAATCTCCACATTAATGATGTTATTAAAAGTGATGATAGGTTGGCTTTATGTATGCTAGGGAATTTTTCCAACTCGGATTCAGGATCTCCAGAGAATGGACCTGCATTTATATTGGAGACTACTGCTACAACATCAGGGTCCTTGGAGTTGTATCAGCTTTCACTATTCATTTTAACTTAAGTTTCATCATTATACTAGGAATGCTAAATTAAAAATGTAAATGATTATCTAATACAAGCAATGAGATTCTAGCTTTTAATATAGATTTATAAGGCAACGTGGAAGTCTATCAATAGCATGATGCGAGATATCAAAATTTAAGTTCATGTTTCCTGGGAAAAAGAAAGCTGTAGAAATAATACCAGGCAGTTAGCTAGTTATTTATCAGCTAAATAATTTTCTGTTAGTCTTCACTAGAAGGAAAATTTTGTTTAATATGAGAGAATCCTAGACACGGACCTTTGAAAAGAGATGGTACTGGAACTAACATAATTTAAAAAAAAGTAAGGCATCCAGTTCAGAGAGGAGTCATCCAAAACTTCTGAAGAAATTTGAGAAGAAGGTGGCTGAATTCCTCTCACAGTATATATAAAACTCCCTAAAACTGGAAAATAAGCAGTAAAAAGCTATGATAGAAACAAAACTATTCAGAAACAGAGTTATTCAGTATTTTTGTACTAGTTTTTGAGCCCATGTTGATCATCTAAAATTTTGATTCTGCCCTTCGTACAGGTGAAGGGTTGAGTAGGGAAACTATAGAGGTGCTGTAGCTGCTGAAAATACTACGTCCAGAAGGACTTGGTCAGTGCAGTCATTGATTTGCAAAGAAGCCATGCTATAAGACAAAAAAGTCATGTGTTAACCACTGCAGAGGGATTACTATGAGCATTTGAAAATGATACCAGTTACCTGAAGAGAGAAGTTTCAGGAGACAGCAGGAGGCAGGCCCTAGCATTTTTTTTTTTTAGATTCTGACCTTAGAGTCTGATCTAGGCAGTTACTAGGGGTTAGAAGCTGCAGTAAAGTTGTCTACACAAGTACATCGCTCCAAAGGATCTAACGCTGACTATTGCCAGAGAGTGGATTCTGGACAGGACAAATTACATTTGAGACAACACTGCAATTCCTGTACAACATCTGTATCCATACTGGACTTAATATGCCAATTTGCATATTCTTCTCTATTGATAACTTGGAAGTTACTAATCACTTCCAACAGCACAAATTACAAAACTCTTTTGACACTAAGATCTGTCATGACATTTTAAAGGCCACTGAGAGTTTGCAGAAGACCGAATTAATTTTATCTCATGTTTGGTATCACAGGAGTTCCAAGGCATTTAAACGTGGATCGCATTAAGGAAGACTTGATGAAAATTGAAGATGTTTATTCTATAGAAGATTTAAATGTTTGGTCTCTCACTGCAGGAAAAACAACTGCCATAGTCCACTTGCAACTAGGTAAGCTGCTGTATAGCATAAGTCTAAATTAAATCTAAGTGTAGAAAAAAAAAACCCCAAAACATTTTCTCTTCATATTGTTATTTAAATTGAACCAGGAAATATCATTCTGGGGAAAAAAATCTACTAACTATGGTTTTGTACAGCGAGGTACAGAACCCATTGGCCCAGAAAGACACAGTGTAAATGAAAATTGTGCAAAGAAAATATATTCATACAGAAACATCCACTACAGAGTCTTTGCGGGGGGAGGCAGGGACGGGGAAGGATTTCTCCTCAGAAATTCCCTTATTTCGTCCAGGGAAAGGCAGGGTGAAGTTCTAATGTGGAACAGTCTGACATACGAAAAATAAATATGTTTTGCCAAAACGTGCTGATTTAGACATCTAACAGTACCATGTTAACAAATAATATAAATATATAATATTAATTCTTGGTAAGAAAGCTCAGGTTTTTTGGGGAGTGGTGTCTAATACAGACAGTTTTATCAAGATGTGATTCTAATTAGAGGACATAGACCTAAAGGTGTAAAATAATATCTAGAGAGTACATAGTGACCACAGAACAAAATTAAATTAATAAATGAGTGTGAACAAAGATTATTCTAGTTGGTAACACTGTGAAAAATCTGAGAACAGCTGGATTGTCCAGGTTTCTTGAGGAGTGAATTCTATTAATTATTTTCTTGATTTTCCAGTTCCTGGTAGTTCATCTAAATGGGAGGAAGTTCAGTTCAAGGCCCGACAACTGCTGCTGAACACATTTGGAATGTACAAGTGCTCTGTCCAGCTTCAGAGTTACAAACAGGAGATAAGCAAAACCTGTGCAAGTTGTCAGAGTTCCAGTGCCTAATTTCGTATGTTTTGGGAACTGCTGCCTTATTCTTTATCTTGTAGTCAAAGACTGAGAGCAATAAATGCAAAACGAAAATGATGAAATAGAAACCATTAATATGTGGATTTGTACCATGCAGCAGGGAGAACTGGTGCTGCAACAAGTGCAGTGGTTGCCCAACAGAACACGTATTTCACTCTCTCCCTTGTACTGGTTTATTCAATTTATTATGATTTTGAGACAAAGCTGTTTTCAGATTATTGTTTACAACCTGCAATGTGGCTCTGCAGATACCTCACAAATTACAGTCCAATATCGTCCTTTAATAACTATGTACCACAAAGTACCTGCACTCCAAATGGAGCATCAAGTATTCAGTATTTCAGTTAAAGTCTCTAATGCTGATCATGCCAGGGTTCCATAACGTGTCAGGATCCCTGAATTCATTACACAGTATTTTTGCAATAGTAATTTTCATACAGTATCTTAAACTATAATGTGTACAGTGCTAGTTGAATTGTTTTGGAAACTGTCTCTTTGGAGACACTGCAAAATACAGAATTTACTGTACCCAGACCAGAAAGTTAGCTTTAATCTGGGCATTCAGAGATCCAGACAGGAAGATCCTTGCCCAGACTTCTGATGTTTAACTAGAGACCCAACACTACTGGACCCAAAGTGTTTTAAGTGATCGGTTATCTTTAATGTATTTTAGAATAGGGTTTATACATTAGAAACAGCTTATTTATTTTACAAAGTTTTGACTTGTAAGATGAATTTATTATTAATAATCTTGAATGTCTAAACCAACATTTGATTCACATTAAAAGGCCAGCTCATTAGCATGCATTCTAATTATAATTAATGTCCTGTAATTGATCATTTTTCCATGATTGTTTTGTTTTAAAAGAAAAATCAAATGATAGACACTATGCTTGACATGGAGATACTCTCAAACACAATCTACAGACAGGCAAAACATGTATCTTCTAACAGGAAAGTGGGGAGCAGAAGTTTTAGATATGTAGTATTCCCTCAGTCACAGATCTCTGACCTTTTCATCTTTGCTTTGAGCACAGTATGGCAGTATTCTGACAGGAATGCCACTGCAATAGCAGTCCCTCGCTACTTAGCTTTATGAATAAAGCAAAATCCAAGCAAGCTCAGTAACCTAATGGTGTTGGACAACAAAATCATAACAACCTACAGAGATAGAAAGGCCGTTTCTTATTTACAGAGGGATGAGGCAATTTTGAAAAGACTATTTATTCATCCTCAAAGTCCACAAAACTGAATTGCTTAGCCTCATGGTAGAATCACTGTACTTTGAATGTACACAGGATAATAAAACCTGACCCTAAGCTATCATACACCTCCAAGCTCAGATTTACACCTGCTTCTGAAGTCATTTGCATTGAAGAAGCTAAGAGCAACAGGAATATGACCTGCAAAGTTCAGAAGACAGTAAGAGCTTGGCTTCAAATATTTTTTTCTTATTCTGTACTTTGATCTTTATGCAGAACTTCCACTGACATCAAAAGTAGTTCTGTATGTGGATCAGAAAGGAAAATTTTTACCCAATAATGGATATTGTGATATTCAGCTGTGAATACTTAAGCTATTGTCTGTTTTGAAACTTGCTAGGGTTTCACATATTCATCAGGCTGATTTATACCTGCAATTGGTGGTAACAATCTTGGCTTCTTTTCTCCCCTTTTTTTGAGGTAGGGGTCACACGATGAATTTTTAGAGGTGAAAACTGACAGCACAGTATTAATTTGGGCAAAGTGCACCTAACACTGGATTATGTTTGTAGCTGTTCTGGCAAGAAATGGGAACACTTGAGTATAGCATGGGAGCACATACAGCTCAGAGGCAAAGTGGCACTGTACTTGGGAAGTTAATGCTTCAATACAAACACTATCATTAATTAAGCCATATCACAGTTCATGAAAAATGTGCATCCCATCCTTACAAACTTACTGGAAAAAAAAATAACACAAACAAACAACAGGTATTTTGCACACACTAATACTCAAATAGGTTTTAATTAAATCGGGGTTTACAGTTGCTGTAATTAGAAGTTGAAGTACAGTAGACGTATTGTATTTGGAGTTTTTTATTGTAATAATTTACGCATTTGTTTAATTGAAGAAAAAAGCAGAAATGTGTTGTTTTATTGTGGGTTTTATTAAATCAATTATTAAACTTCACATTGTTGTCTTATATTTATTTGTATTGCTGTCTCTTGTCATCATCTTGGATTCTTACAGCAGCTGTTTTTTGAAGTGTCTGAACACTCAAGCTTAACTCAGTTTGGAGATGCTATATATAGAATGATGTCTCCCTCTTTAGTCAGAAGAATTCCAGTCTTGTTATTTCCTGTGCAATAATTGCACTTTAGAAAACATAAGCTGACAAAGCATGGTGAAGGAGCAGCCACAAAACAACTGGCAAAACATTCTTGAAACCCTACATTCACCCTCGAGGGGCCCTTGTTATCAAGGCCTATAGACTGGAAGGAGTTCAGAGAAAAAGCAACAGAAGATGAAATGAGAACCAAAAATAACAGAATGAATGCATTTATCTCAGGGAGACTCTGAAGTGTACATGCCCTGTTTTGAGGTCTAACTAAACTCACATGGAAATTTATATCTCTGCGGTCTACCTCTAATCCTTTTCTTACTCTTTATATTCAGGGCACAGGTTGTCTGGCACTGCTATGTTTAACATAAAAATCCAGTATTCTTCTGAATCTGCTATTAATCAACATCAAAAGGAATATGCATATTATCACTTATAATACTCCTAGTGATGGAATAAATGAGAACAACAGAACTATAAAAACAACCAAGTAGAAATAATTAGTACACTTACTTATAAGGATAGAGAAATACTCAGAAAATAACACTGATTTGCAAATAAACTACCAGGAATTTATGACCTAATACACGGTAACAGTACTCGGGAAGCACAAGTGCCTATAAAAGACGACAAGTTATTTTTATAGACATTGCAAGGTCATTTTCAGTACCAGCTTAGAGGAAAGTGGCCTTAGTATAAATAAGAATCAGGTCTCATGTCTTTCCAAGCAGCTCTCCAGCATATCCAGATTATTTCATTTACACACTCTTACACTACTCTTTTCCTTCTACAAAATCCTCTGTTGAAATTAAAATGCATTTACTTAACAGGATTTCTCTCTCACCAAGAGACTCATAAGATTTGAGCAAGTTTCCACAACTAGTGACCCCCCTTTCCAGAGCCGTGGTGCAATACTCTTGCTGACTGAACAGCTAAAATCCTGTGAAAATTCTGCCACCTCTAACAGTCTACTCTGGAAAAAGATTTTTCCTTTCCTAATCTGTGATTGTCAGCCATCCTTTTCTGAAGCATGGATACAGCTTTGATGACAACCTACTCATATGAGTCAATAAAGTGTTTTTATATCGAGCAGACTGCAAACCATCACATCCCACTCTTCTGTTCTGAAACGTTCTTATCCTAAGGAGAAAATTAACAGAAGCCTATTTTATTTCTGAATGTTTTCCTTGCTTAATTTTGTGAGTTTTTTTGTTTTGTTTTCTTAAATTGTGTTGACATTTAGTCTTTTCAATACCAGCAGCATTTCTTTCTACACCAGCAGAATTACCATTTAAAATATTATACCTGAATCTGGTCTTCAATTATTTTACTACTGTACATATCTGCTATTGAGTGGTTAAACATTAGAATAGGCTGCCCAGGGAAGTGGTTGAGTCACCATCCCTGGAGGTATTTAAAAGACGTGTAGATGAGGCGCTGCTTAGGGACATGGTTTAGTGGGCATGCTGGTGTTGGGTTGACGGTTGGACTCGATCTTAGAGGTCTTTTCCAACCTTAATGATTCTATGATTTCTTGCAGAATCACTCCCAACTGGCAGAATGACTAAGAAAAGCAGCAGGCTGGCATTTAGAAGTAGCTTTCTGATGTAAAACCAAAAAACCCAAAAGACACCCACCAACTAATCAGTAGTAAGTCTTTTTGTTCAGGTATTTCGGCAGAATCTCATAAGGACGCTGCACTGATGCTGCATAGAGCAGGGCTGTTGAGTATTATTTCTCTCTACAGATACTAGAAGAATATCGTAAATGAAGATAGGCTGTTGGGTAATTAAACAATATGTACTGCAGTAGCTTCCTAGACTCCAATAAGCTAGTCCACTGTCAGAGAAGAAGTTCCCTTGAGATCTCAAGGGGAGGGGAAATCCACTGTAAACACCCAGCTCATTTCCCTCTATCCATCCACAATGGCATTGCCAAGATGTTTTTTCTTGTTGGTTGCCCCAAGCACATTCAGTTGTTCCAGGAGTTAGCACACCTAGCCCAAACATCATGTTTCATCAGCACTTTGCATTATGCCACCGCTCTCTGTTTCTCTCTTTGTTTTCTTGCAATACTCTACCCTCTCCACAGCTTCACTAATAATGTCCAGCTTGCACCCTGTGCACCTGCTGCTTACATGGTCGCTAGGAGCTTCTCATGCAGCATTGTGTGTGGAACACGCCCAAACGACTTGTAAGGCCTGTTCTATTCAAATACATGCTTGCCCAAAGTCCGTTTCCTCTTTGATCTCTAGATGAAAAAAAATCTTCTAACCACCAAGTTGCTAACTCACAAGGAAGACCTAATCTGAAAGCCTCTAGATTCTCTTTCTACCCTCTCCACAGCTTCACTAATAATGTCCAGCTTGCACCCTGTGCACCTGCTGCTTACATGGTCGCTAGGAGCTTCTCATGCAGCATTGTGTGTGGAACACGCCCAAACGACTTGTAAGGCCTGTTCTATTCAAATACATGCTTGCCCAAAGTCCGTTTCCTCTTTGATCTCTAGATGAAAAAAAAATCTTCTAACCACCAAGTTGCTAACTCACAAGGAAGACCTAATCTGAAAGCCTCTAGATTCTCTTTTACCTTAAAAAAAGATAAAACAAATGTCCTCCACCTTCCCCACCCTTAATCCCCTTTCCAGCCTCATCCCATCCTCCCCCTCTTTGTACCAAATCATGCTGGGCACTAACCGACACTCTCTGTGCTCTGGAGCTGGCAAATCCCCTTCTGTTCTCCTCTTCTCATTCCATTTTCCACGGCTGAATGCTCTGCAAAGGACCATACATGCTCTTCCATTCTGTGAAATACCTGACACAACTTTGGAAGCTGCTAGAATAAATACCGATCCTTTCCATTTACTGCTATCCAGCTACCACAACAATCTGCTCTTAGAATGCATGCGTACCTGCCTCCTATGTTTACAGCTGTAAAATTTAATAATGATATTCAAATCAGTATTTTTTGCTTTTATCTCTATTTTCCTTTTCTCCATTGTGTTCTGCTTTTTCTTCTCAGTATCACACAGTTTGAAAACCGCCAGTGCTAAACCTACAAGACAAAATAACTTAATTGCTTTTATTACAGTTATGAAGCATTTATACCTTTTATGGCATCAATTTCTGTAGAAAAAATAAGCCATTTCATAAACACAAGCATAATTTTATCCATATGGCGACTGCTTTATCATTTCCTTGCTATTATACCTGGTGAAAAGATAAGTTGTTTCTCCAGGATTGTGACCAGCCAGTACATGAGGGTACATGAAACCAGTCAATGCTGTCTGTCCAGAGTGTGTTTCACATTAATCTCAGTGCTGATATATACAGGGATTTTTGATTCAGCTGATGAATACATAAAAGCAACCAGATGGCAAGCAGACAAAAAATTTACTTTTGTCTCAGGTGCATTAAGAGCACCCAAGTCCCTGCAGTCTTCCTATTTCTTTTTCCCAAAACACAAACACAGAAATTATCTAATAAATCCCTAAATAAATTGATGAGATGTAAACATATAAAAATAGCTATTTAATTCTAGTAACTGGCCTTTTAAATTCAAACAGAATTTTTGAGAAAAACACCATAAACAAACATTTTCATAGTTAAGATGATGCTACATATTTGAACCTAGCATACGATTAGTTTTTTTTTTTATAGATTTCGTGTGTTCCTTTTTCCAAGCCCACTGTAAGAACAAGTCTGACACAAAACTGTACGGAGAAATACTTTCCCCTCTGAACTGTCAACCTTCAAGGCCTTTCCCGAGTTTACCAGAAGATGGTGCACTAGTCCCAGCTTTAATAGAGTTGTGTACTGAGTATAACTATTGAGACTTCTGTATGTCAAAGGAATACATTTTGTCGCAAATTTTTAAAATGTCTCATTAGTAAGTAAAAAAAAAAAAGTCTTAATTTTCCCTCAGGATAACACAGGGGATTTAACTTTATCATGGATGCAATAAGGAAAAGCACAAACCTAGCACAGATTTGCTAAACAATTACCAGGAAGGACTTAAGATACTTCTTAAAGGCATGTACAGGTAAATATCATAGAATCATAGAATCATAGAATCATTGAGGTTGGAAAAGACCTCTAAGATCATCGAGTCCAACCGTCAACCCAACACCACCATGTCCACTAAACCATGTCCCTAAGTGCCTCATCTACTTGTCTTTTAAATACCTCCAGGGATGGGGACTCAACCACTTCCCTGGGCAGCCTG